GAGAAATATTTTGCTCTTCCTAGTTGATCCAAGATATCATCGATCCTAGGAAGTGGAAATTTATCGGATAGTAATTTTTTATTAATTTGGCGATAGTCAACTACTAATCGCCATTTTTTCTTTTTGTTATCTATGGATTTCTTTGGTACTAGTAAAAGTGGACTGTTGTATTCTGAGGCTGACGGTTCAACTATTCTATCTTTGATTAGTTTATCGACTTGAGCTTGGATTTCGTCTTTTTGACTATGAGGATTTCTATAATTTTTTATATATACAGGTTCATTATCTTTTAATCTTAGTTTCTGCTTGTAAAAATTATTGGTTGTTATTGATTCGGTATCAAGTCCGAATATGTCTGCGTAGTTACAACAAAGTTCTTTTAATTGTTTATTAAATAGTTTTGGAAAATTTTTAGATAACTTTGATATAACATCGTTCGTTCTAGTTTCATTATTTATTTCGGATATATCATAATTTGCTAATGGTTCATAATTCAACTTATTTATATTAATCATTTGGTCGGTACTAGTTGTATTAAGTAAACGAACGAATGCATTTGCAGTTGTTACGACTGTGTTTGCTGCATATATACCAGGTTGAATTTCCTGGTTCGGAATAAAAATGCTATCTTCATTTGAAGTTAACTCAATTTTACGGACAACTTCGGATCGTGCTGGTAACACTATTGTATTGTTACCAGAGCTGTAATTTATGGGAACATAAATAGGGTAGTTTAGATTGTCTGGTCTTATTATGAGCAGATCTTTTGAAGGTGTGAAATCTAGTTGACAATTAAATTTTTTAATAAAATCTATTCCTAAAATTCCATCACACGGTATAGAAAAAGTTGATTCGACAATATGGAAGTTGTGTGGAATTATATATTTAGTTGTTTGTATTTCTAAGGATGTCATTCCTTTAGATTGAATTAATCCTTGATTGATTCCCTGAATATTTATTTTGTTGTTTTTGTTTATGTCATTAAAAGTGTCTGAATTGTCTTTTAACAGAGATATGTCTGCACCAGTATCTATCAAAAATATTAATTTCTTGCCTGTAGCTACGTTTGTGAATGTTACGAATATATTTATACTAAGATTAATCGAATGAACCTTTTTACTGTCTATTGCTGTGTACCTAAGGGCTGTTGTGAGTTTCCCGATTCATTCTGGGCAATTCTCACATTGTTGTTATTGCCATTATTATTGTTATGGCCTCTGTATGAGTTACCGCGGCCTCTATAGTTTCCTCTATATTGGCCTCTACCTCTATTGTTGCCATAATTATTATTTTGGTAGTTTCCACGGTAGTTTCCGCGGTTATACGCTCGGTTAGTGTTATATCTCTGTTGTGCAGCATATAGGACTGTATTTGGGTGTCCTACTGCGTCTGTGCAACTATCGACGAACACAGTTGTAATCTCACTCATTGTATTGAAATTTCGTGATTTCATTACAGACCTAACTTCGTCAATTGTGCTGTTTCCTATGATTGATTTTACAGCAACTTGTAGGCTCAATTCTTCGGCATATTCTTGCGATACACCGTTAACCATATGTGCCGATTGCAAAGCCCTTGTCAACTGTTCAACTTCTTGAATATATTGACTTGCCGTCTTTTGCTTTTGCTGCAGATTGAACAATTTAGCTGATATTGCTTTGGCTGATTCGCCTTTTATACCGCTTTTTAGTTTGTCTATTATGGACACTATTGTTTGTTCAGTGCTGATTAAGTTTCGAATATGGCCTTTGAGTTTAGTTTTTATTAGGTTGACTGCTGTAGTTTCATGTGTTCCCTTAAGTGAATCCACTAAGCTAAGAGCATCAATGAAACTTTGTAGATTCTCAGGCTTTCCACTAAACTCAGGTATGAGTGAAGCGGCTAGCTTAAGAAATTCTAGTTGTGACATGGCCATTTTTAGGGTTTTTACTTCAGTAATAGACTCTGATTCAGAATCAACTAGATTGGTTAGTGTGATTACCGCTGGTATCGTAAGGTCGCCTAGGTCTTCTTCTTTTATATGTGTATCTGAACCGCTTGCGATTTCAGATTCGCCCTCTAAGTCTGTGTTTGTGTCTTCCTCGACTAATACTGGAGTATTCAAAATCGAAGGTATAGTTATGTCTAGTGAATATTTTGATTTGATGCTATTTAAATTTGTTTTTAATCTATTCAAAAATCTTGATACATACGACCAATGCTGAGTATTTAACTTTTCTTTATTGTCGTGTATCAGGGAACGAGCTTGGTTAAAACATGCAACTAATATTGTCGCGTGTCTACTTATAGTTTCGTTTGAAATATTCCTATTTTGTGCTAGACACTTGTATGATTTATCAAAATTTTCTTTTATTTTAACTAATGCGGCATTAATATTTTGCCATTCCATTTCATTTTAAAATAATTATTAAAATGTGCAAAAACATTTATAGGTTTTCAATCAAATAATGATATATTTTTATTCATGATTCGTTTTGGACTTTTTCTTTTATTTTTGGCCAATTTTGGTTACCATTATAAATTTGTTTTAAATTTTGTCCAGGTCATCTGCCCGGCTTTGATAGCGTTTCTTAATGCATCTATTATGTAGTTTATACAATTTATATAATAGATGTCCTATGATTATAATGAAAATAATAGCAATAAGTATTGTTATTAACTTTAGGTCGGTGTTATTGACTTCGACTTTGTTTATTACATTCGCTGTCGAATCTACCGATTTTACATCTACTAAACCCATTGTGTAAAAATTTTCGAAATTTTCTTCAAATTTACTTATTTTGTTTGTTCGTGACATATGTATAATATACAAAAACAAATTTCCTTTTTTTTCTTTTATACTACTGTATAAATTCTTTGTTAATTGTTGAAATTAATTTATAATTTATATATATATTTTTTTCAGTTTTTACATTTCTTTCTGCCTAGTGTTTGTGTGGCTTTACAGGCCTCACTCTAATTGGGCAGATGTTATTCCGCTCAATTTTACAATTTTAGATCTTACAGTTAAGTTGTATGCATCGCAGGCATTTAGAAAAAAAAATTTTGTTTGGCGGTGGGCGCTCTAGGAAGCGCTGTCGGTTCACTGCTCCGGGTCTAGCTTGTTGCGCTAGACGAGGCCGGTGCTGGCTGCACAGGCTGCTACTGCTTCTCTGTTGGGGCACCGGTGCAGGCTGCACAGGTGTACTCGCAATGCGGCGAGTGTAGAGGTCCCTCGCAGTCGTTCGGGCAGGTCTTCCTTGGCTTTGCTATTTCTGTCGTTTGGGGTGGTGGAGTTACGATTAATATTTTACTGATATTTTGTATTGCAGTGTAGGTGGTTGTGTGCATTGGCTCTTTCATTTTCTTTTCTGCTAGCAACAATTTGATGTGATCGAGCTCTGTGTGTAATTTCACAGATGTGCTCCACGGCAAATTATCGTTGCTATTTAGCAGTTTGAGTAGTGTTGCCCTTCTGGCTCTCAGGCGTTTTACTACGCCGCCTCTTTTGCCACACATACCACTCTACTTACTGCGTTCAGTTCCGCTCCATTTCGTTGTTAATTTTTATACCCGATACTCAAAATGAGTATTGGGGTATATTAGATTTGTGGTAAAAGTGTATGTGTGTAACGTCCAGAAGGAATCGTTTCCGACCCCATAAAGTATATATATTCTTGATCAGCATCAATAGCCGAGTCGATTGAGCCATGTCTGTCTGTCCGTCTGTCCGTCCGTCCGTCTGTCCGTCTGTCCGTCTGTCCGTCTGTCCGTCCCCTTCAGCGCCTAATGCTCAAAGACTATAAGAGCTAGAGCAACGATGTTTTGGATCCAGACTTCTGTGATATGTCACTGCTACAAAAATATTTCAAAACTTTGCCCCGCCCACTTCCGCCCCCACAAAGGGCGAAAATCTGTGGCATCCACAATTTTAAAGATACGAGAAAACCAAAAACGCAGAATCGTAGAGAATGACGATATCTTTTAGACTGCGGAATCTGAATTGGATCGTATTATTAATATAGCCAGCATCAAGAAAACAATTTCATTTTTTCTCGCCCTGTCTCTCTCTAACACACACGTAGCATAGGCGGCTTTGCTTAGAGTAAAACATTAGCGCCTAGATCTCAGAGACTATAAAAGCTAGTGCAACCAAATTTGGTATCCACACTCCTAATATATCGGACCGAGACGAGTTTGTTTCAAAATTTCGCCACACCCCCTTCCGCCCCCGCAAAGGATGCAGATCTGGGGATATTCATAAATCTCAGAGACTATTAAGGCTAGAGTAACCAAATTTGGTATTCGCACTCCTGTTAGATCTCACTATAAAACGTATATCTCAAAATTTCGCCCCACCCCCTTCCGCCCACACAAAGGACGAAAATCTGTTGCATCCACAATATTGCAGATTTGAGAAAACTAAAAACGCAGAATCATAGATAACGATCATATCTATCAGATTGCTGAATCTGGATCAGATCAGATAATTTTTGTAGCCAAAAGGAACAAATCAATTTGCATTGGCTACGCAGCGCCCGACGTCACGCTCAGACTGATTTTCTGTCTCTCTCGCACGCACTCTTTGTCGTGTCGTTTAATATTAGCGGCGTCTGCCGGAGGAAAGCCATACTGACTTAGTATCGGGTATAACTGTAGAGTTGCGGTGTCCGCAGCAACTCACAACGTTCCCCCTCGTTTTTTTTGTTACTGCTGCTTCCAGTGCACTGCAGTGGTGCCTGCTGTGGTGCTGCTGTTGTTGTCCGCTCTCGCCGCTCTCGCTCTCGCTCTCCGCTTTTTTTTTTATATGATTTATTTTAACATATTTTTGTTTCCGAACATCTACATGTTCGTGACACTTGTCACGGTCGCCATGTAATATGTCACTATTGTAATTATAACACTGGCACGTCTGTGCCGTTTGACTTCGGTTTTTAGAATATCTTTATTGAATTTATTCTTATAACCAGTGTGCCAGTGTTATAATTACAATAGTGACATATTACAAAGTACTAAATTCAAATCTGTGTGTCGATTAATTTATTCGGTTTTGATCTCGTTGCATAATTTGTATTTGGTATTGATGCGAGCCACTGTATATCCGAACTGAGGGAATAACTGATCGGATATTCCAGGTACCATCACGATGTCCTTCCTTCGTCTAGAAAACAGAAGGATTAATATCCAATTAGAAATTCAAATGAGTCGTATGTTACCTGAAGGATCACCATCCTTCCCTTTCTCTGTGCTTAATATAATGCTTAATATAGTGATTATTAATATTGATGCAAGCCACTGGGAATCCGAACTAAGGGAATAACTGATCGGATATTCCAGGTACCATCACGATGTCCTTCCTTCGTCTAGAAAACAGAAGGATTAATATCCAATTAGAAATTCAAATGAGTCGTAAGTTACCTGAAGGATCACCATCCTTCCATTTCCTTCCTTCCCTTTCTCTGTGCTTAATATAGTGCTTAATATAGTGCTTAATATAGTGATTATTAATATTGATGCAAGCCACTGGGAATCCGAACTGGGGGAGTATTTGTTCGGATATCCCGGTACCTTCACTATCGCCTTTCTTTATCTAGAAAACGTAACAAGGATTCAAATCGAATTAGCTATTGAAATGAGTCGCGCCTTACTTGAAGAGCCGCCTTCCCTCTCCAAAAGTCATTCTTTGAGTTCGTGTGTCCAAAAAGTAACAAACAAATTTTTAACTTGAAACCAATTTTTTTTTTGTACACTGAATTACTGAATTTTTGTTTTCCGGAAATAAAAACTTAAATTTTGGATGCTCCTCACTCGAGGCCTGGGGACTGAATGAATATTTTCCAAATTGTTTTCCATGCCTTAATTTTTCTATGCTTTTGTTCGATTCCACAGCCTACTACATGTATCCCAGGTTTTATGCCCGGAACGCATTTTCGGGTTTAGTTGGAGATCAAAGTCGGCGAAACGAATCGATTCGAACAAATTTGTGCTAATTGTTGGACAGAATGCGGTTCAGTCTCAGCTTTTCGGCTTGTGGGAATTCTCCCGATATCGAATCAGATAGAATGTCTCTTGACGGAGGGTTCAGCTCTTCTTTTAGCTATCGCTAAGTGACCAATGACCTCAGTTGAGTTCGTAAGTATCTGGTTGGGCCCTCCTACTACTATGATCCCCTCCACCTCCACTCCCTCTGCCATTCCACTTCCACTTCCAAGTAACTTTAACTTTACTTTTAACAATTTTTTTGCTAATGCACATTTCTGTTTGCTTAACCTACACATGCCCCAGCCACTGCCCCAACCCTTAGGATTTGCCTAATTTGTAGATAATATGTAGGCTGGTGACATGTGTCACACAATGTGTGAACCATTGCCATTCGCAGCTGTCCCCCCATCCCACAAGCCAGAACAAAAAACCAGGAAAAAGTACTAAATTCAAATCTGTGTGTGGATTAATTTATTCGGTTTTGATCTCGTTGCATAATTTTTATTTGGTATTGATGCGAGCCACTGTATATCCGAACTGAGGGAATAACTGATCGGATATTCCAGGTACCATCACGATGTCCTTCCTTTGTCTAGAAAACAGAAGGATTAATATCCAATTAGAAATTCAAATGAGTCGTATGTTACCTGAAGGATCACCATCCTTCCCTTTCTCTGTGCTTAATATAATGCTTAATATAGTGATTATTAATATTGATGCAAGCCACTGGGAATCCGAACTAAGGGAATAACTGATCGGATATTCCAGGTACCATCACGATGTCCTTCCTTCGTCTAGAAAACAGAAGGATTAATATCCAATTAGAAATTCAAATGAGTCGTAAGTTACCTGAAGGATCACCATCCTTCCATTTCCTTCCTTCCCTTTCTCTGTGCTTAATATAGTGCTTAATATAGTGATTATTAATATTGATGCAAGCCACTGGGAATCCGAACTGGGGGAGTATTTGTTCGGATATCCCGGTACCTTCACTATCGCCTTTCTTTATCTAGAAAACGTAACAAGGATTCAAATCGAATTAGCTATTGAAATGAGTCGCGCCTTACTTGAAGAGCCGCCTTTCCTCCCCAAAAGTCATTCTTTGAGTTCGTGTGTCCAAAAAGTAACAAACAAATTTTTAACTTGAAACCAATTTTTTTTTTGTACACTGAATTACTGAATTTTTGTTTTCCGGAAATAAAAACTTAAATTTTGGATGCTCCTCACTCGAGGCCTGGGGACTGAATGAATATTTTCCAAATTGTTTTCCATGCCTTAATTTTTCTATGCTTTTGTTCGATTCCACAGCCTACTACATGTATCCCAGGTTTTATGCCCGGAACGCATTTTCGGGTTTAGTTGGAGATCAAAGTCGGCGAAACGAATCGATTCGAACAAATTTGTGCTAATTGTTGGACAGAATGCGGTTCAGTCTCAGCTTTTCGGCTTGTGGGAATTCTCCCGATATCGAATCAGATAGAATGTCTCTTGACGGAGGGTTCAGCTCTTCTTTTAGCTATCGCTAAGTGACCAATGACCTCAGTTGAGTTCGTAAGTATCTGGTTGGGCCCTCCTACTACTATGATCCCCTCCACCTCCACTCCCTCTGCCATTCCACTTCCACTTCCAAGTAACTTTAACTTTACTTTTAACAATTTTTTTGCTAATGCACATTTCTGTTTGCTTAACCTACACATGCCCCAGCCACTGCCCCAACCCTTAGGATTTGCCTAATTTGTAGATAATATGTAGGCTGGTGACATGTGTCACACAATGTGTGAACCATTGCCATTCGCAGCTGTCCCCCCATCCCACAAGCCAGAACAAAAAACCAGGAAAAAGTACTAAATTCAAATCTGTGTGTGGATTAATTTATTCGGTTTTGATCTCGTTGCATAATTTTTATTTGGTATTGATGCGAGCCACTGTATATCCGAACTGAGGGAATAACTGATCGGATATTCCAGGTACCATCACGATGTCCTTCCTTTGTCTAGAAAACAGAAGGATTAATATCCAATTAGAAATTCAAATGAGTCGTATGTTACCTGAAGGATCACCATCCTTCCCTTTCTCTGTGCTTAATATAATGCTTAATATAGTGATTATTAATATTGATGCAAGCCACTGGGAATCCGAACTAAGGGAATAACTGATCGGATATTCCAGGTACCATCACGATGTCCTTCCTTCGTCTAGAAAACAGAAGGATTAATATCCAATTAGAAATTCAAATGAGTCGTAAGTTACCTGAAGGATCACCATCCTTCCATTTCCTTCCTTCCCTTTCTCTGTGCTTAATATAGTGCTTAATATAGTGATTATTAATATTGATGCAAGCCACTGGGAATCCGAACTGGGGGAGTATTTGCTCGGATATCCCGGTACCTTCACTATCGCCTTTCTTTATCTAGAAAACGTAACAAGGATTCAAATCGAATTAGCTATTGAAATGAGTCGCGCCTTACTTGAAGAGCCGCCTTTCCTCCCCAAAAGTCATTCTTTGAGTTCGTGTGTCCAAAAAGTAACAAACAAATTTTTAACTTGAAACCAATTTTTTTTTTGTACACTGAATTACTGAATTTTTGTTTTCCGGAAATAAAAACTTAAATTTTGGATGCTCCTCACTCGAGGCCTGGGGACTGAATGAATATTTTCCAAATTGTTTTCCATGCCTTAATTTTTCTATGCTTTTGTTCGATTCCACAGCCTACTACATGTATCCCAGGTTTTATGCCCGGTACGCATTTTCGGGTTTAGTTGGAGATCAAAGTCGGCGAAACGAATCGATTCGAACAAATTTGTGCTAATTGTTGGACAGAATGCGGTTCAGTCTCAGCTTTTCGGCTTGTGGGAATTCTCCCGATATCGAATCAGATAGAATGTCTCTTGACGGAGGGTTCAGCTCTTCTTTTAGCTATCGCTAAGTGACCAATGACCTCAGTTGAGTTCGTAAGTATCTGGTTGGGCCCTCCTACTACTATGATCCCCTCCACCTCCACTCCCTCTGCCATTCCACTTCCACTTCCAAGTAACTTTAACTTTACTTTTAACAATTTTTTTGCTAATGCACATTTCTGTTTGCTTAACCTACACATGCCCCAGCCACTGCCCCAACCCTTAGGATTTGCCTAATTTGTAGATAATATGTAGGCTGGTGACATGTGTCACACAATGTGTGAACCATTGCCATTCGCAGCTGTCCCCCCATCCCACAAGCCAGAACAAAAAACCAGGAAAAAGTACTAAATTCAAATCTGTGTGTGGATTAATTTATTCGGTTTTGTTCTCGTTGCATAATTTTTTTTATTTGGTATTGATGCGAGCCACTGTATATCCGAACTGAGGGAATAACTGATCGGATATTCCAGGTACCATCACGATGTCCTTCCTTCGTCTAGAAAACAGAAGGATTAATATCCAATTAGAAATTCAAATGAGTCGTATGTTACCTGAAGGATCACCATCCTTCCCTTTCTCTGTGCTTAATATAATGCTTAATATAGTGATTATTAATATTGATGCAAGCCACTGGGAATCCGAACTAAGGGAATAACTGATCGGATATTCCAGGTACCATCACGATGTCCTTCCTTCGTCTAGAAAACAGAAGGATTAATATCCAATTAGAAATTCAAATGAGTCGTAAGTTACCTGAAGGATCACCATCCTTCCATTTCCTTCCTTCCCTTTCTCTGTGCTTAATATAGTGATTATTAATATTGATGCAAGCCACTGGGAATCCGAACTGGGGGAGTATTTGTTCGGATATCCCGGTACCTTCACTATCGCCTTTCTTTATCTAGAAAACGTAACAAGGATTCAAATCGAATTAGCTATTGAAATGAGTCGCGCCTTACTTGAAGAGCCGCCTTTCCTCCCCAAAAGTCATTCATTGAGTTCGTGTGTCCAAAAAGTAACAAACAAATTTTTAACTTGAAACCAATTTTTTTTTGTACACTGAATTACTGAATTTTTGTTTTCCGGAAATAAAAACTTAAATTTTGGATGCTCCTCACTCGAGGCCTGGGGACTGAATGAATATTTTCCAAATTGTTTTCCATGCCTTAATTTTTCTATGCTTTTGTTCGATTCCACAGCCTACTACATGTATCCCAGGTTTTATGCCCGGTACGCATTTTCGGGTTTAGTTGGAGATCAAAGTCGGCGAAACGAATCGATTCGAACAAATTTGTGCTAATTGTTGGACAGAATGCGGTTCAGTCTCAGCTTTTCGGCTTGTGGGAATTCTCCCGATATCGAATCAGATAGAATGTCTCTTGACGGAGGGTTCAGCTCTTCTTTTAGCTATCGCTAAGTGACCAATGACCTCAGTTGAGTTCGTAAGTATCTGGTTGGGCCCTCCTACTACTATGATCCCCTCCACCTCCACTCCCTCTGCCATTCCACTTCCACTTCCAAGTAACTTTAACTTTACTTTTAACAATTTTTTTGCTAATGCACATTTCTGTTTGCTTAACCTACACATGCCCCAGCCACTGCCCCAACCCTTAGGATTTGCCTAATTTGTAGATAATATGTAGGCTGGTGACATGTGTCACACAATGTGTGAACCATTGCCATTCGCAGCTGTCCCCCCATCCCACAAGCCAGAACAAAAAACCAGGAAAAGTACTAAATTCAAATCTGTGTGTGGATTAATTTATTCGGTTTTGATCTCGTTGCATAATTTTTATTTGGTATTGATGCGAGCCACTGTATATCCGAACTGAGGGAATAACTGATCGGATATTCCAGGTACCATCACGATGTCCTTCCTTCGTCTAGAAAACAGAAGGATTAATATCCAATTAGAAATTCAAATGAGTCGTATGTTACCTGAAGGATCACCATCCTTCCCTTTCTCTGTGCTTAATATAATGCTTAATATAGTGATTATTAATATTGATGCAAGCCACTGGGAATCCGAACTAAGGGAATAACTGATCGGATATTCCAGGTACCATCACGATGTCCTTCCTTCGTCTAGAAAACAGAAGGATTAATATCCAATTAGAAATTCAAATGAGTCGTAAGTTACCTGAAGGATCACCATCCTTCCATTTCCTTCCTTCCCTTTCTCTGTGCTTAATATAGTGCTTAATATAGTGATTATTAATATTGATGCAAGCCACTGGGAATCCGAACTGGGGGAGTATTTGCTCGGATATCCCGGTACCTTCACTATCGCCTTTCTTTATCTAGAAAACGTAACAAGGATTCAAATCGAATTAGCTATTGAAATGAGTCGCGCCTTACTTGAAGAGCCGCCTTCCCTCCCCAAAAGTCATTCTTTGAGTTCGTGTGTCCAAAAAGTAACAAACAAATTTTTAACTTGAAACCAATTTTTTTTTTGTACACTGAATTACTGAATTTTTGTTTTCCGGAAATAAAAACTTAAATTTTGGATGCTCCTCACTCGAGGCCTGGGGACTGAATGAATATTTTCCAAATTGTTTTCCATGCCTTAATTTTTCTATGCTTTTGTTCGATTCCACAGCCTACTACATGTATCCCAGGTTTTATGCCCGGTACGCATTTTCGGGTTTAGTTGGAGATCAAAGTCGGCGAAACGAATCGATTCGAACAAATTTGTGCTAATTGTTGGACAGAATGCGGTTCAGTCTCAGCTTTTCGGCTTGTGGGAATTCTCCCGATATCGAATCAGATAGAATGTCTCTTGACGGAGGGTTCAGCTCTTCTTTTAGCTATCGCTAAGTGACTAATGACCTCAGTTGAGTTCGTAAGTATCTGGTTGGGCCCTCCTACTACTATGATCCCCTCCACCTCCACTCCCTCTGCCATTCCACTTCCACTTCCAAGTAACTTTAACTTTACTTTTAACAATTTTTTTGCTAATGCACATTTCTGTTTGCTTAACCTACACATGCCCCAGCCACTGCCCCAACCCTTAGGATTTGCCTAATTTGTAGATAATATGTAGGCTGGTGACATGTGTCACACAATGTGTGAACCATTGCCATTCGCAGCTGTCCCCCCATCCCACAAGCCAGAACAAAAAACCAGGAAAAGTACTAAATTCAAATCTGTGTGTGGATTAATTTATTCGGTTTTGATCTCGTTGCATAATTTTTATTTGGTATTGATGCGAGCCACTGTATATCCGAACTGAGGGAATAACTGATCGGATATTCCAGGTACCATCACGATGTCCTTCCTTCGTCTAGAAAACAGAAGGATTAATATCCAATTAGAAATTCAAATGAGTCGTATGTTACCTGAAGGATCACCATCCTTCCCTTTCTCTGTGCTTAATATAATGCTTAATATAGTGATTATTAATATTGATGCAAGCCACTGGGAATCCGAACTAAGGGAATAACTGATCGGATATTCCAGGTACCATCACGATGTCCTTCCTTCGTCTAGAAAACAGAAGGATTAATATCCAATTAGAAATTCAAATGAGTCGTAAGTTACCTGAAGGATCACCATCCTTCCATTTCCTTCCTTCCCTTTCTCTGTGCTTAATATAGTGCTTAATATAGTGATTATTAATATTGATGCAAGCCACTGGGAATCCGAACTGGGGGAGTATTTGCTCGGATATCCCGGTACCTTCACTATCGCCTTTCTTTATCTAGAAAACGTAACAAGGATTCAAATCGAATTAGCTATTGAAATGAGTCGCGCCTTACTTGAAGAGCCGCCTTCCCTCCCCAAAAGTCATTCTTTGAGTTCGTGTGTCCAAAAAGTAACAAACAAATTTTTAACTTGAAACCAATTTTTTTTTTGTACACTGAATTACTGAATTTTTGTTTTCCGGAAATAAAAACTTAAATTTTGGATGCTCCTCACTCGAGGCCTGGGGACTGAATGAATATTTTCAAAATTGTTTTCCATGCCTTAATTTTTCTATGCTTTTGTTCGATTCCACAGCCTACTACATGTATCCCAGGTTTTATGCCCGGTACGCATTTTCGGGTTTAGTTGGAGATCAAAGTCGGCGAAACGAATCGATTCGAACAAATTTGTGCTAATTGTTGGACAGAATGCGGTTCAGTCTCAGCTTTTCGGCTTGTGGGAATTCTCCCGATATCGAATCAGATAGAATGTCTCTTGACGGAGGGTTCAGCTCTTCTTTTAGCTATCGCTAAGTGACCAATGACCTCAGTTGAGTTCGTAAGCATCTGGTTGGGCCCTCCAACTACTACGATCCCTTCCACTCCCACTCGCTCTGCCATTCAAAGTAACTTTAACTTTACTCTTATCGTCTTCAGCCTGGCAACAATAACAATTTGTTACTAATGCACATTTCTGTTTGCTTAACCTACACATGCCCCAGCCACTGCCCCAACCCTTAGCGGCCTCATCCCAACGCCCTCATGGAAACCCCGCCGATGGAACCCACTGCATGGGCCGTAGATGGCAGCGGGAACATGAGCTAAACTACTCATTAAGCCAACTTTGGCGCTTGTCCATATGAAACTCAAGCGATTTGTCCAGACTCAAGGATGGGGTTGGCCTCAATAGAGATGGCGAATGGTGGGATGGGATATGTTGGTGGTGGGGGGCGTTGGAGGTTTGGGTGTACGGGGGCTAGGTGGGAGAGGATGAGGTTGAGTTTATCCCCAGTGCTATGTTTGATTAAGCAATTCCAGGCGGAAATTAAATGGACACGCAAAACAAACTCTTAGCTGGGCACCAGGAAAAAAAGGGTCAGGCTTTGAGTTAGAGAGAGACAGATACTCGTGGCTGTGGACACAGGATGATTCTCCCTTTGGCTTGATCCCCCTTTTAGGTCAGGGTGGGGTTGGGGTGGTGTCTCTATCAAACTTAACTGAGCAGCGCTCAAGTGAGAAGATTAAATCGCCATAAATATTAACTACAGTTGCTTCCTGCAGGTCAGAAGAGAGTTGGGGGATGATAAGGAAGGGACAGGGGCAGGGAAGGGACAGGTGGAGAGGTGGAAGGTAAAGTTGGGTGGCAGCTGGACCTCGATGTGGACCTGGACCTGTGAAGGGTAAAGATACATACATAAGACAATTTGAAAGCGCTTGCCTTGATTTAGCACCGGAAGGCACGCACATCACGTGCGACCCCGCCAAAGGTCCAACAACTGGTCCCCTGGTGTTGCCACGCCTTTACCGCTCATCCTGACCCCTACCAGTGCGAATACCAATGCCTTGGGGCAAGTGTACAAATCAAATGATTTATTGGTGCAACCGTGGAACTGGAGCATCTCGCGTGAGAAGCCACCAAATAATTGAAACGTACGCATGTCAGTCTGTGACTAGAAAAGGGGAGGCAGTATCCAGGTGGGGGTTAAGGCAGTTAAGGATATCCTTTAAGATATTTTCTATGTGAGGATTAAACATTATATTTACTTAACATAGTTGCTCAAGAAATTATCACAGAAGCTATAGAGACATATAGGGCTATGATCAGGTAGATTCCGACAGGAATATAACGGTTCTTGTGGTATGATCCGATTTTTCCATTATTTCCACTGAAAGTATCCAAAGCTTTGTGCTAATTGTTTGGCAGCGATGGGCGATAGAAGATATAAGCGTTGGGTGGAGCTGTGATGCAAATGTGTTCTTGTGGCAGTTATAACTGAATTTTCCACCACCCCTTCCCGTGTACACCCCTCCTCTGGCAGTCATCGAGAGCTAGCCTGATTGCATTTGCCGTTTGCTTTTGGCCAATTTGCGTTGACTAGAAGCTTTCGAGTCATTAACCAATCGAACCGCACTGCCACCCGCACCGTGGTGCATTCTGCACTTCACCGGCCGGTATGGTTCGGCGTAATAAGATTTCAACGGATTTCTGAGCAGCATCCACCGGAGCCCACAACCTCCCACCCCCCGCATTGCCACAGCAGCGACCCCCCGTGTTGGCCATTCAGGAATCAACCCCATTTTCAGTTAGTTAATTGCTAATATTACACAAGTGCCAGAGCCGAGGCGCACTAAAGTATGCTATCCTCTCGCTCGCGCTCTCTGGTCGCGCTCGCAGGTTTCCGTCCGTTTCGTTGCTCTTCGCCTCAGCTCAGCTCGGCTCGGCTCGGCTCGCTTCTTTTCGGCTGTGCGATGGCTTCCACTTACTCTCTCCATTGCTATCGTTCTCTGCCTACAGTACGCTGCGCTAGTTAACGCACAGCTGGGATTAACGTACATGTAAATGTGCTTGAGGAAAATTCAGTTTCAGAATTTGTATATAGAAATTTTCTAATGGAAATATCGAGGTTGCTCTTGCCTTTTGCCTGTTCATAATAGCTTTTCTTTATTTGTCTCAACCTGTTCATACACTTCTCAACCTGACTGTTTGATCCATTATTGCCGCGCTCTGCGCGCAGACGCCGACGGAAGGCCGGCCGAGCCGCCAGAGACCGGCGCAGGGTTGCAGCGCTGTTTCTGCTGTTGTGATTTCCGCTCTGCTCTTCTACTTTCGCCGTCACTATCCATTGCTCTGCTCTGTTGTGGGTTGTGGGTGCCGCCGCACGTGCCAAGCGTCTACGTTGGGGGTTGCTCACGACAAGCGGCAGCCGCTGCCGTTGCTTCCACAGAGCCAGAGCCAGAGCCGACGTGGCAGTAGCTCGTCACAGTTTCGCGAACAGTTCAGCATCAGCCCTTGCAACGAGCGCATCGCAAATCGCAACGCGGGCGCCGCTGTCTCGTCGTCGACGGCACATCAAAAGCAACCAACTAGCAGTAACAGTAACAGTAACGGCAACCAGTGCTACAGTGGACAACAGTGCGTCACAAGTCCCGAGCAGAACGAACAAGTCAGAGCGCGCGAAAAGAACGGGAAGAGCAGTTCCAAGAGCAGTTCAATAGCATTCAGTTCTTTAATTTTTTCTATTCATTTTTGTTGTTGTTATTGAGTGAGTGCGGAATCGCCCCAACAACAATAATAACAAGAGGAAACGAAGAGGAAGACAGAGCACAGCAGGTGATTTCTCTCAGTGTGCACCGTAACCGCACACAACACACATATCAGCGGCTCAGCAGTGAGCAAGAGAGTGAGAGAGGTGAGTGAGTGTTATCCAAATTAACAGTTGCAATAACAAAAATTGCGTGTAGAAGAGCGTCAAAAATGCTTAATTTAGCCGCTAATCGGCCCCTCGAATGGCCATTGATTAGCAATATAATGAGGCTTCCTTTAGCGGCTAATGCTTGTGCGTTATGGCGCAACAAAATACGGGAAAGAACAATAATAATAATAATAATAGTAAGAGACAAGAGCACGAAACGCACGAGAACACAAAAACACAAACAAAACATGTGCGCAAGTCAAAATTGTCGTAACATTGCGAAATTGATTTTTCATCTGCCCCTGGTCTCTCCTTGCCGACCAACGTTGTGTGCCAGCAAGAGAGCTCTCTCCCTTTCTCGTTGTCTCTCACTCTGTCATAGCACTGTGCAAGGTATATAAAAT